AATCTAATAGTATAAGCCATTGCTCTTATGCCCTAACCAATCACATTCTTTGTTTTGAGGTCCTGAAAAACACAAGAAGATGGAGAAAAGGTTATGAAACACTACAACGACTTAGTTGACTCACAGATAACAAGTTGAAGGAAAAATAAGGAACAAACAAACCAAAGATTAACGACATAGAATGTGTAGGACAGAAATCGTTAGTCCCATGAACGATTCGAAAAGAGCCATCAGCTAACATAATATGTGAGTGAGATAAACAAAAATTAAAAAATAGGAAAGATTTCTCAAACATATGAGTACTAGCCCTTGAATCTCCATCCTAGGTGAGATCCAAGGTGACGAAGAACGTTAAACAACCACACATGCATAATTACCTTCATAAGCAAGACATGTAGTAAGAGCAGACAAATGTGGACTAGTATAGAAAGTACCAAGAGAATACTCAAATCTAAATTAGAGGTTTCAGAAATTCGATTCACAATCATATATTCACAACTATTAGGACTAAACTTAGCAAAGTAGTGTGCTGAAGCAAACCCACAACAAAACTCAACCACAACCAAGAGCCCACAATCCACAAGCCAAGATAGGGCAAAACAACAACACTTTGAAGCAACCTAGAGAAGAATAAACAATCATCTCCCCCTCCCCCCCCAAAAAAAAAAAGATAAATCAAAAAGATCCTCAACCACAACCAAGAGCCCACAATCCACAAGCCAAGAATGGGCAAAACAACAATAATTTGAAGCAACCTGGAGAAGAACAAAAATCCTGCCCCAGAAAAAAACAACACAATGTGATCCTCTTTCCTTGTTTAGCAATAGGCTTTAGCTTTTGGTGGGGCTTACTCCCTGATCAAGTTATAACAACAACAAATTCGCTCTCTCTCTTGGATGCGGAGTGCCTGCTTCAAGTCAAGGAAAGCCTCACTTCCTTAATAGTCAGCACTTCTGCAGTTGGAAGGGTGGAGATGAATCAAGTCTTTGATCCCATTGGACTACTTCCCAAAAAGCAAGAGGAAGTGAAAAGACCTTTGAAAGAAATCAATGATGCACTGAAAGAACCTAAATACAAAGCCGCGATAGCAATTCTCGTTGGGGCAATAATGCTTGTCATTCTACTTTCTAATTTTGCTTCTGGAAATCCACTGTGAATTTATGTGATTGGCGAGAATGCTTTTGGTGTTGCGTAGATTGATAGAAATGTCTTTTGTAGACGTGGTTTGGTTACTCTTATTTGTTTCGAGTTATTTCCACTTTGGGATGGCCACGGGGCCTTTGATTATACCAGCGACTGGGGAGTCAAGAAGGACGAAGAAACTTTGTAGCTGCGCTAGTTGGGGATGAAGAAAATGGGTCAAGTGAGGAGCGACCGACTGTACTGTAATAACAGAAGTCCTTGAAGAGTTTAAAGATGTTATGCCACCGGAGCTAGAAGAGTTGATGAGACAATTGAGGGAGTTGTTGGATGTCGGATTCTTAAGCCATCAAAGGCCCCATATGGTGTACCAGTGCTGTTTCAAAAGAAGCACGATGGGAGTTTTTGACTTTCTGGTGATGCCTTTTGGCTTGACCAATGCCCCAACAACATTTTGCACCCTGATAAACGGTTGTTCCACCCCCTACCAGGACCGGTTTGTGGTGGTAGATCTTGATGACATTGTGGTCTATAGTGGGACACTTGAAGAACACTAGAGAGCTGTCTTCCTGATATTACGCGATAACCAGCTTTATGTCAAGAAGGGGAACATTTGCTCAACAAGAAGTCTTGTTCCTTGGACATCGGATCAAGGGAGGGACCATTTGCATGGTCAATGAGAAGGGGAAGGCCATAGAGGACTTAAAGGGAGCCATCATAGTTGATCTGGTGCTGGTCTTTCCGGATCATGCTAAGCCGTTCAAGGTACATACCGATGCTTCGGACTATGCCATCGGTAGAGTTTTTATGCAAAAGGGGCACCCAATTGCCTATGAGAGTCGTAAGCTCAGTGACACCGAGCGGAAATACACAGTACAAGAAAAGGAGATGATCGCCATAGTGCACTGTCTACGCATTTGGAGACACTATTTGCTCGGGTTAAAATTCGTTGTCCAGTCACTAGTTATTTCCAAACACAGAAGAAGCTTAGCCCTAAGCAAGCAAGGTGGCAAGACTTCTTGGCTAAGTTCTATATGTGTATCTCGTATAAGCCAGGACGCACGAATCTAGTGGCTGATGTGTTAAGTCGGAAAGCAGAGCTTGTGAGCTTGAAGCTATAGGAGATAACTGTTGTGAGCCAGTTTAGGAGCACTCTTTCTTGAGTTGTTCAGTATTCCTAGCGCTTATGCCTTTCCGTCCTGGAGGATAAAGGCAGAGCCGGCTACCCTAACTACCTAGATAGGGCAGCACTTAGCTTAGGATGGAACACTCCCCGAAAGGGGAAAGTAAAGAACCGACTTCGGGAAAGAGCTCCAGAAGAAGTTAGCTGTAGGACATCTTCTCATCTCTTGTCCTTCTCTTTTACCCTAGGAGAAAAAAGGCCCTAGGATATCTTCTCCTACTATTAAATGGAGTATTCTGCACGACAGAGCAAACCCCCGTATTGAGCTAAAAGCGCACTTATGGTATCCTGCCTAGTGATTGGAACAAAGTAGCTCCCTAGGAGAAAGAAGCCATTGGGGCATCCCTTCATCTCTCTTTTCCTTTATCTTGAATTTATTAACTTTGGAGAGAACAACCGTAGGGACAGAGTCTCGAGAACTTCATCCTGCGTTTTGGCAGCTTGCCCCAGGGTGTCCTAGAATTGAAAGACTAGATTAACTAGCCTTAGAACAAAAAACTTTCAGTATAAGGAAAGGGGGACCTAGTTCTATCCTTTAAAACAAAAAGCCCACTTTTAGCTTAGCTCCGAAGACACAGGGACAGCACCCCCTGGAAGAAAGGGGGGAGGACGAACGCGAAAGCAAAACAACTTGGGGAGATACAAGCACCAGACTGTGCAGACTCAAGAGATAATGTCCGCATCGTCTAACTAGTCTGATCTACCAGCTAGCAATAGGGTCAATGAGGAAGCAGCATCCCTTATTGATTGAGCAACAGATGGCATTGAAGGGATCCTCCTTATTGGATCTTGCAGACCGTAGTACCCTTGTCGGGAGGAGCGGCTTGCCATATAGTTAAGTTAATTCCTTATTCTGGAGAGGCCTACCATGGAGGTTACGTTGATGTTAGAAACCTGGCCACCCCTTTTCGCACTTGCAAGTCAAAGGAAGGGAGGCAAATTTGGAAATCCTAACAAAACAAAACCACGACTTTAAACACAAGCTCCAGGAAAAAAGGATACGTAGGGCAAGGATATATGAATTCTTGGAGCCCCTCTTCTTCATCTTCTCTTGCTCAAAGAAGTTGTTGTTCAAGTAAAACTTGCCTAAACCAACAAGAGGCGGTGTATCCACACAAAGATCTGTCCAAAACACATGTAGTAGCCAAGAAGAGCAAAACCCAAAGGTTGGAAGAATGACCAGAAGCCAAAAATACATTAACTCAACTAGTTAGTGAGGCAAAAAAAATCACCAAAAAAAAAACATAGATGGGTCAATCACAAACACATTCTATAGTTTTAGTCAAACCCTTATTTTCTATAAAACTACAACCCAATCGTCAAGAACAAGGTACAAACGAAGGCTATGGTCATGAGATAATCGTAATCTCATGGGCAAAGAACAACAATCACAACCAAAGGAATTGAATTATCAGTCATAATAACTCCTCAAGACATGATTTAGGATCCAAAAAACCACACATAACTAGTTAAAGTTTCACAATGAACAGTACCCCCGTGATGAACAGTGCGTTGTGAATAGTACTTCACTAAACAATCCAACAATGAACAGTGTAGAGAAGAGAAAAAGAAAAAAAAATGGAAGAAAAGAGAAGGAACAACTATAATAGATACTCTGATACCAAGTTAAATTAGGGAATTTAATATTAGGGTTTATGAAGAAAAAGAAAGGAAGAGAAAATAAAGCGAGGAGAAAGAATAAGAATAATATGGTGTGTAGGCTATGTTGCCCTACACTCTCTTATTTATACTAAACTTGATATTATGAGAATTACAATACTACCCTTCATTACTAAAAATATAAGAACTCTTATGATATCTTATGGTAGTCAAACTAAATAGAATTTTCTTTTTTCTTTATATTGATTTGCCGAGTGACTAGAATTTGTGCATGTGGATTGCACATTATTCTGCGTACAAATGAAAGGACCAAATAATGAATAGAAGTAATGAGAAATATCTGCAATTTACATTTGTTGTGTTTGTCTTCATCGGGGTTGTTGGGTAGAATTCTTTTTATGAAACTTGACTCATGAACAGAGGTTTGTATGGTATTGAGAATGCTTATGGCATTATGGCTCTTTGATGAAGAAGAGTCTTGGGAGACAAAATTCAAATTGTTTCCCTAGCCCATAAAAAATGAGAATTCTTCCAATGTGCAACTTGTTATAAAACTAGCTAATTAATGTAATTGCAAATAACTTGTTCAAACAATACAAAAGAGAGAGAGATATTGTATTTCAATTAGTGTATAGATAGCCTTCCCAGAGTCTCTTTTATAGAGAAATTACATGAGTGTCGGCAAAGACTTTGAAGACATGGAGTAATGGTGGTGAGACATGTATTAATGATGATGGGATGGTGGTGGTTATTCACTATGTGTTACTGTTTTACAATATTCTCCCTTGAATGATTACTATACCAAAATAGTATTGGATGCACGAATGATGCCTCATTAAAACATTGCTAGTAAAATCTAGTGGAATGGAAACTGGACGAAGGAAAAAGAGCACAATGTGCAAAATATCCAATTGGGATCCTAAGCATTGCCTCATTAAAAATCTTGTTAAGTAAAGCCCAGTAAAAAAAACCTTAGCAAAGGGAAAAAAAGTACAAGCCTCCCCCTATTGAATACATCTAGTCAAAATGATGATTGTTCAACTTGATAAATCTTTGAGACGTCGCATTCCAATTTGGTTCACCAATTTCTAAAATGTAGTCGGTGGGAGTGCTTTAGTGAACAAATATGCCAGATTTTCAGTTGAACGAATTTGTTGAACATTAATATCACCATTTTTCTTTAGCTCATGGGTGTATAAGAACTTTGGTAAGATATACTTTGTTCTATCACCTTTGATATATCTTTCCTTAAATTGTGTGATACAAGTTGTATTGTCCTCGTATAATATTATTAGAATGTCTTTGATTGAAGGTAGTACACCCTACTTTTGAATATGTTGGATCATAAATCTTAGTCAAATACATTGTCGACTTGCTTCATGGATGACTAATATTTCAGAGTAATTGTATGATGTAGCAACCATTGTTTGTTTAACCGATTTTTATGATATAACCTTACCACCATAAGTAAACACATACCCAGTTGTGACTGAGCCTTATATGGATTAGAAAGATAACCGATATCTGCATATCCAACTAACTGCGGACTTTGGTCATTCACATAGAATTACTCCATGTCCACTGTCCCACGTAATACATGCTTGATCTTATTCCAATTCCTTCGAGTTGGTGTTGCGTTGTATCTTGCCAGTAAATTAACTATAAATAATATGTTTGACCTCGTACAGTTTGTTAGATGCATTTGTGCACCAAATGGATTGAGATATGGTGCTTCAAGAAGTTTTTCACCTTCCTCTTGAGGACGAAATTGATTGTTCCTTGTATCTAATGATGTGTTGATCATTAGTGAACTCAATAGATGAGATTTATCCATATAAAATTATATTAAGACATATTCCGTTTATGTTGATTAATGCACAAAAATTTCATTGGATAAATGTTTAATCTATATGCCGGGACAAAATTTTGTTTGCCTAAGATTTTAATCTCAAACTCACTTTTTAAATAGCTGGTGCCTTTTGTGAGTTCTTCTGGTGTGCTTATTAGATTAAATCATCAACATATACAACAATAATAGCAAATTCATTGTTACATCTTTTAATAAAATTATATGGACATATCAAATGATTGGCGTATTCCTCTTTTAAAAGATACTCACTAAGACGATTACATTACATCTGCCTTGATTGTTTTAATCTATACAACTATCGTTGAAGTTTATTAGTAGAATACAACCTTCAGAATTGTGAATTATATACTTTAGGCATTTTGAATTGTTCAGGAATTTTCATGTATATTTATTGTCCAATGAACCATATAAATACGTAGTAACGTCCATCAAATCGCATATGTCCAAACACCCTAATTGTTTTAATTCATACAACGATCCTTGAAGTGATGAGACATGCATTAATGATAATGGGATGGTTTATAACATTTTATGCCCTTATGTCTAAGATTACTGTTATGACGAATAATGGTTATATTTGGACCTGTAGTCCAAACGCCCCAATGTGTTAAACCCGTTAGATATAGATGGGTGTTTGTGAGAAAATGATCGTTGAACGCATTTAGATTTTTGATAGGTCTTGCAATCTCTGAAAGATTGGATATGCGCTAGATAGACATTATTACTACGTAATTATATGGATCATTAGACAATGAGATATACATGAAAATAACTGAAGCATATAATTTACAGTCATGTTGTATTTCATTAAACTTCAACGATTGTTGTATGGATTAAAACAATTAGAGCGGATCGGATATAATCGCCTTATTGAGTATCTCTTGAAAGAGAGATATGTCAATGTATTTTTATTAAAAAAAGTAATAATGGATTTACTATTATTGTTGTATATGTTGATGATTTAAATCTAGTAGGTATTCTAGAAGAACTCACAAAAGCCGCCAATTATTTAAAAAGTGAGTTTGAAATGAAAGATTTTAGGCAAACAAAATTTTGTCTTGGCCTACGGATTGAACATTTATTCAATAGAATTTTTGTGCATCAATCAATATACCTGGAAAAGGTCTGGAACCAATTTTACATGGATAAATTACATCCATTGAGTTCATCATTTGTCGTCAATTTATTAGAAACAAAGAAGGATTCATTGCGCCCTCAAGAGGAAGGTAAAAAAAATTTTGGTCCAGAAGCACCATATCTCAGTGCAATTGGTGCACTGATGTATCTAGCAAGCTGTACGAGGGCAGACAATTCATTTGCAGTTAACTTACTAGGAAGATACAATTCAACACCAAATCGAAGGCATTGGATCAAGCTTATATTGCGGTATGCGGTATCTCTGTGGGACAATGGACATAGGGTTATTCTATGCGAATGAACAAAGTCTGTTGTAAGTTAGATATGTAGATGTCGGTTATCTTTTTGATCCACACAAGGCTGGATTACAAATTGGGTATGTGTTTATTTATGGTGGTACGGTTATATCATGGAAGTCAGTTAACCAAACAATAGTTGCTACATCATCCAATCACTCTGAAATATTAGGCATCCATGAAGCAAGTCGAGAATATATTTGGCTAAGATCCATGATCCAAGATATTCAAGAGTGGTGTGGGCTACCTTCAATTAAAGACATTCCAACAATATTATATGAGGACAATATAACTTATATCACACAACTCAGGAAAAGACATATCAAAGGTAATAGAACAAAGTATATCTCACCAATGTTCTTTTATACCCATGAGTTAGAGAATAATAGTAATATTAATGTTCAGCAAATTTGTTTGACAAAAAAGTTGGCAGATTTGTTCACTAAAGCACTCCCACCGACTACATTCCAGAAATTAGTGAACCAAATTAAAATGCGGCATTTCAAAGATTTATCAAGCTGAACAATTATCATTTTGATCGATATATTCAACAGGGGGAGGCTTGTACTATTTTTCCCTTCGCTAACTGGGTTTTACTTAACAAGGTTTTTAATAAGGCAGTGCTTAGAATCCCAACTAAACAATTTGTATGTTGTATTATTTTTCCTTTGTCCAACTTTTATCACGGTGAATTTTTCTAGCAAGGTTTTAATGGGGCAGCATTCATGCATGAAATACTATTTTGATATAGTGGTCATCCAAGGGAAAATGCTATAAAACAGTATCACATAGTAAATGACCACCGCCATTCCATCATCATTAATTACATGACATGTTAAACACGAATAATAAGCGGGTCAGATTAGTGTCGAACACGAATAACCCGAATTTGACACGATAAACACATCGAACAGGTGTATAAATAAAATGATTAATTTTTATCATTCTTTTTTTTTTGCTTGTTTTTGCTATTATATAAACTTAAATCATTTTATGGCTGTGAAACGATTAGGATAGGTTTGGTTAAGAAGTAATGGGATCTTAGTGCTATATTTTTAATTCACAGATTATATGGGTCAACTCGAACACGATATGATAATAAACAAGTCGAATTAGTGTCATGATATCTGACACGATTAATTAGATAAATTGGGTTAGGTTAACTAATACCGAATACAAGCATGAAATAACACAACCCAACACAATTCCATTGCCATCCCTAAATATCAAAGAGGACATGAGACTGAATGTAAAGTTGAAGTAAACCGACTAGGCAGTTCATTGATTCAAATTCAATAGAATGGTCATGGTTGTTGCCATGCCTATGCCTGTCTGAGTCTTAAGTAATTTGATATCTTTTGAAAATTTGTGGTGCTTCTTTCTAACACGCAAAACATTATTATTATTATTATTTTTTGATGAGAAACAAATATTTTATTAGTATTATCAAATTCAGTACATGAAGTGAAAAGGTTGGACAAAAGATATGACCTTAATGAAACAAATTACAAGGCAATGAAAAAGGCCAAAAAGTCTAAAAGCTACCAAACTTAGGTTGTCTATAAATCACAAATAGCCCTCCATTCGGCCGAGATACAAAAAAGTGGAATTCCCTCAAAAATTTTTGTGATTGAGGCCCAAAAAGATGCCAAAAAGAAGATACGATTCTATAAACCTTCAAACACCTCACTCTTACTTTCAAAATATTTGATCATTTCTCTTCAACCAAGCATTGCATAGTTCCATGGTGTGACCCCCTTTTTTTTTTTTTGTTTCCTAAAGCCCTTAAAATCCTCAACGAACATGGAAGAAAAGGACCAAGGTGTTACCCAAATCAAATCTGCCAATGAAAACAACCTGTTCCACTAGATTAGTGCAATAGGGCAATGGAAAAATAGATGATTAACACTTTTACTGTCACTATGGCATATAACACACCACTATGGAGATATAAATTTGAGGTATTCTCTTTTGAAACATATCATTAGTATTAATCTTAATATGACCAATAGTCCATGTACAAAGCTTCACCTTATTAGGTACTTTAGCCTTCCAAATTATCAAAGAGGAGAGAAAAATTGAACAAGAGAGATCATCAATCAAGGACTCAAAGTATGATATATAAGAGAAACACCCGGAGGACTCAAGCATCCATATTCTTTTATCTAGGGACTCTTGATTTATGTGAATATCATTGAGCAAGGAAATAAGTGAAACCAAATCAAGAATTTCTGTCATTTAAATTCTTATGAAACCTGAAATTCCAAGGCAAAGAATTTGAACTTGACCAAATCAAAGAAATGATATACATATTGTGAGCCCAAGAGACCCTATCAAAGAAATGATATACACGTTGGATTCCCACCAAACGTGCAATTCCCTCAAAATCTTAGAGATTTGCACGACATTTTGATCTAGTCCAATGATATACATATAGCTTTTGTCAAGAAGGCTTGTGTTGTTGGAACTTTCTACTGGATGTTCCCGCTCCAGATATATTAAGGAAATTCTAGTGATTGTAACTTTCTCCATATCTATTGGAAAAGCATGGAAAAAATGGCTTGAATGGTACTGTCCCTCCATCACCCTAGAATGAAAGGGGCGATCCTGTACTTCTTGATCGGTGAAGATGTGTTGTTAGGTGCTTCATGTTATGTTTGCAAATGTAATATTAGTGGAATTCAAGTTAATTGATAAAAAAGATTTGTGGGGCCAATCTTATGTAATTGAGTTGAAGATTTGTCTAGGTGAGGTTGTGTTTTGGTAAAATATTAGTCCCTTCTAGACTATATTAAGGAGTATCAAGAATTTTGCTTGCTAGATATGGATCTATCCTAATCTCGAAGTCAGGATCTAGAGTCAGATAGAAATGCACACAGGGTTGAAGGATGTCAGTTCTCATGTTGTTGATATAAAACTATCTACTTGTTTGGTCCAATGCTTATTTGTTCTAATAAACCTTTTTTTCTAGAAAACCTCAATTTTACATCCTAAATTTCTTAGGATTTTTTTTGTTTTCGAGGATCCAGGATTTGCTGCCGAGAAGTCTAATCAAGTCCATGTATGTATCTTTCCTGGCGGGATGCTTCCGTTCAATACGTTTTGGGTTAGAGGAAGCTCATGGGTAAGCTATCTTTTCATCCTGCTCTATTCCACTACAAAGTATTAATCTCATCTCACTAAGCATTGTATTTCGTGGAATATAATACAATAATTTTATCAGAAAAGGGCAAGCATTGCAGTTTAATTGGTTATTTGAGAAAGGAGCCTTTATTTTGCATCCTGATGAAACATTCTCCGTTGACTTCAATAAGGTATGGTTTCTCCAATACTCCTCTAAGTGCATTACATTATTCAACTCAACAAAACCTTGTCCCAACATTTTGGGGGTCCGCTAAGCGGATTACATTACTCAAATTGAAATACTAAATGCAAAATTTTGTTTTCTTATTGAAAAGGTCGAAGGTGTAGTTGAGAGCCTGAGTAGGGAGATACTTACTATACAAGCAAAAGGAGACAAAGGGGCCGCCAAAACACTTCTTCAGAAATATTGCAAAATGACACAACCATTGAAAGTTGCTTTGGAAAAATTGGAAATAATTCAGGTATGAGCTTTAACATTTTTTCAGTTACATAAGTTTACATTTTAGTGGACTTAATCCTGATGTGGATGATAAAAGGAAGCCAATTATCATACATATTGGGCTTTTTGCCATAAATATGGGCTTTCACAAGAGGACTGGGTTCTTAAGGTGACTTCAGGATCAATGCTTATACCAAGTCTTGCCCTTACTGTTTGCATAAGTTCTTTTTTTGCTGTTTTGCGCTATCAAAGTCAATCTGTTAAATTATAAGCAACCTTATTCTTTGGTCTTTCTTGTGCCCTATTCTTTATATTCATGGTTTTATGTCACTCGTCCTCCTTAGTGTACCTATTGATTGTCATTGTACCTATTCAAACATCTCAATCGATATTCTCTCACTTTTTTTTGAATCAGTGCTGCTTGGACTGTCTCATGTATGTATTTATTTCTAACATTGTCTTTTATTATCCTGTAGGCATCCGTCTTAACATTCTAATATCGATGAAACTCACTTAATGGGCATGTTGTTTCTTAGTTGCCCAACAAATTGCTCTGCAACACAAATGACTAGCTTTATAGCTGTCTGATTTCCTTTCAAATTATACTTGTATTTTCGATTGCATAATGTACCAGAAGCACTTCCCGCTTAAAACCAATCACTTTGATTAAGCCGGTAACATAATCTTCAATCTCCCTCCTTACTAATAATGGAGTCCATATAACATGATTATCCAAACTTTGGTATTTCTTGGTACTCGATTCTCACTACCTCTCTGTTTCTATTTGGACTTTACTAAAATTATTTTCCATATATTTAGTTTTAGTCCTACTAAACTCTTTATTCTCGTGCTGCTTATAAATTTCAAAAATCGAGTGTTCCTGTTTTACTGTGACTAAATAAAATGATATCATCAATCAATGACATATACTATGCATTATCATCCTAAATATATCTAGTCTGCAGTCAAAGGCACATCATACAGATATGTCTTTTATCGCAACAATACATCTGTATTGGTTGTATTCCTCTAAAATCCATCGTATTATAGCAATCCTATCTCGAGCTTCATTCAAACTTTCAAATATATAAAAAACCACACAAAGATTTCATACTTATAGTTTCGATCTATTATCCTCTGAGGGTTTTATGTGTTTGCATTGTTCATTCATGTTCTGTTGTCACTTTGCACCATGGAAATATACATTGAACAAGTACTCTTTATGTAATTTACTGCAACTTAGCACAATGCTAAAAGTTAATGAAAAGTTTATGGGAAGTAATTACCTATGTGGAATAGAAACTACAATGGATTGTGATTCGTTAAAGTAGTTAATTGCAATTTGATCAATACTGTTAAGTTGTACCATCGATGTTCTATTTTTTTTTTTTCATGACTATTATTCATGGAGAGGGGTTATTGCATTTTGCAGTGGTAAGTAGTAAAAACTAGTACTTGTGGAGATAGATCATCATGTCATGGGAGGTCTAATTATTTATTCTTTTTCAGACATTCTGCTTAGCATTAGATCACTGTTAGAAATCTATTGTTTGGTTCAAAGTCTCACAATTAGAAACTGGAGTTGGTTAGCTGATTGTTATAATTTACAAAGCCTTAGTTCCTAAATTAACGTAAGGTCTTGCATTTATACTGCATTTTCATGCTTTACAAAGTTGTGAATCTCGCTAGATGGATTCAAAAGAACTTTAAAAGTGGAATTGAACAAGCTGAGGCTCATTTATTTCTGTCTAAAAAAACTTCTCCACTAGTTTCTAATGTAACCAAAAACTTCTGATTTACCAGCAAACTAACCATTTTGGATACTCATGCCTAATTGCAAGAACCCTGTAGCTTGCTTGATGCCTTCACATTATAAAACTGTTTCTCTTGACTTTCCGGAAATATAATGGTGATAAAAGTTGAAAATTCGAACACTTATGACCACACCTTCAACCAACATTTAATTTGTATGTATCAATATAGTTGCACCTTTGCAATGCAAATACCAGATAGTAATCAATTTTTTTATAGATCTTTCCCTGCATAATGAGTTGAAAAAATAACATGGTCGACGGAAAATTTGATTTAAAACATCCAGATACCTCCTGTTGGTTGCATGATTTGCAATATATATCACCTCCTTCCACTGTTGGAGTTTATTAATGCATTTCTTACTTGTATATTCACAATATCTTGCAGGTTCCTGTGGATATAGCTCCTGAGTTCCCCATTATTGACCAAATTTTGAATGGAAGTCGCTGAAGATTTGAATTGCCATGCTTTAAGCTATTAGAGAAGTGTTCTTTTCAATCCCCCCTCTCTCCCTCTCTCTCTCTGACTCTGACTATTTTGCTTCACCAACGATGTCATGCCATTTCTATTGAATGGCAATTTCGAATTAAGTCCTTCCACTAAAGATATTTCTATGTTGGTTGATAGAATGACAAATGATGCCATAAAATAGCCGAATGTGTATCATCTCTCTTTAAACACAGTACAAGGAAAAGTCAGGCATGTAAACATTGTATGCATGATACTGTTACAACGAAATCAACACGAAAAGCTTGTTATATGCTTTTCTTTCCTTCTTTTCTTTTTGTTTTGCAAAGTGTATGAACATATTGCTAGCATCTGTTCCCACTGATAACAGGATGATGGATCTTGATGCTCAAGGTTCAGCATATTACCTCACTATCTTGATAGTGTAAAGCCCACAAGGAAAGAAGTAATCAAGTAAAATCTTCCAAAATCCTGAACTATTGGAGCAAGCAACAGCATAGGATGGGGGTCTTGATTCATAATAACTATTTTTTTTTTACCTTCATTAGTGTCTCCATCCTGGATTTGGCTCTATTGTTCGTGCTTTCAACAAAGTTGTGTTGCCCTACTGGGAAAAACAGACCAGATTTTTTGTGCCTTTCCTATTTCTGTTGCAACAGATTGAAAGCCATCTCCATTTGGCATTTAGAATCTTAGGGTAATTCCAATTGGGTTGTCAAATTTTAGCTGGACAACTCCAACATCTTTTTTTGGCATCCAACGGTTATGTCAAATGCTGACTGAGCAAAATAAATTTTGGCATGCTATCAAATTTGGCATATCTCATGTCCCACGCCAAATTCAATATTTTATTGAATTAGTTTTGTTAGAAATTATAGTTGTTGACGTATCTCATCTCCTTACCACCATTTTATTTAATTTATTTTGACATTTTCGGTTGGAGTGTAAGGTGAAGATGTTAAATGATATATGTCAAATTACAACATAAGACTTCAAATTTAAGTTTGACAAATAACATTTGACATCTCTATTGAAGATTCTCTTAATCCTTTTCATTCCGTGGTTTTGTGGTAGTTGCAAGTTTTAAGGCAAGGAAGAGCCTCACTATAAAATTTTGGGCAAATTATATTCGAATCTTTTGAGTTTTGTCAAAACAATACGATAATTTTATGATATTTTTAAAATGATATCTTCGTATAAAACGATGTTGATTTATCATTGAGGAAGATCATTAAAAAAAATGTGTTGGAACAGATCTGAATTTCTCAATTCTTAATGTAAGAATCAAGCCAAATTGAGCACAAGGTTAGTGGACAACCCTTGTAATCCAACATGAGGTTCTGAATTTGTTGTTGGGCTAGCCAAGTTTGTGCTAGCGTATTGGTTTTAGTATATTCAACGTAATTATTATATTACGTTATTATTGTCACGTGTGTTATTAATTAAGTCTAAACAAATAAGTGGGATGACCCCAATAAACCCATGTGATAGTTATTGATGATTATATAATTTAGTAGAATACACTAGTAGTACATGATTATTCATAATTAATTAGTAATACTACGTGACGGTGATGACATAGTGTCGCCGAATATTTTTTCATCCAACTGGGCTAATCGGTAGGCCTACTTATTGGGTTATTTTTTCATTTATCCAAGTGGGCTAAAAACCGGTAGGCCTACTTATTGGGTTATGAGTTTACGGGTCGATCTTAACTAGGCCTAACATTTCGGATCCATCCGACCCGAAAGTACCCTCACGCGACCCACCAATGTTGTACTTTCTCTCGCTCTGTCGACCTCTATTTCCTCCGTAAGGCCTCGATTCAATCTAAGCATCAGATCGGCCGACGAGAAGTTCCGGTCGCCGCCGGCCATATCACTGACCGAATTCCAATACACATGCATACAGATCTGTATGTAAATTAAGGTTTTCTTTGTTCAATCTTGCAGCTACCTATGACAATTTCGGACGACGAAGACGAAAATCTCGCTCAGTTCCTCGAATCTGAGGTCCTCTCCGAAGTCTCCGATCAGGTATCTGACTTTCCATTTTTTTTTATTGTTTTAGAGGAATAATTTTTTATTGTTTCGATTGTTCGAACGTTTATACATTTATCGTTTGATTAATTTGATTTATAGCATATGCATACAGATTTGTATATAGGCCGGGTGAATACTTGGCTTCACTATGGTTCGAATATCGTGTTGTATAGGGTTTGGATTATATACGTATGCCTATATTTGTGGTTCGATGCTTAATTATTTCAAAATCGTGAAAGTATACAATTCTCCAACCATAGTAATGATAAGTCAATAAACTGTATAGCTCTATTGTATGGTTTATCGCAGGAAGAGGAGATAATAGGTGAGGAGGGAGACAGCGGGGAGAGAGAAGCCAAGAGATTGAGAGTTGAAAGTGATAATGAGGAAGGAAAGGCACTTGTGATGCCATTGTTGCCATCGTTGATTGAATTTCAAGCTCCATCGCCATCGAAGAGTGAGGTTATTGTTGGTAGCAGTAAGGGTGTGAACAGTGGAGCAGTTCCACGGATGATAGAGATGGGGATATTGAGCAAGATCCCTTCTGAACTCTTCCATCACATTCTTAAATTTCTTTCCTCTGAGGTACCATTTATATCATGTGCATCTTCATTTGTGTAATTGTATTGGATCTATATTTTGTTTTTATTGGTCTTTTTATTAGGGTCGGGGGTTCTTTTGTTGATTATTGATGATAATGCAGGATCTTATATCATGCTCGCTAGTCTGTAGATTCCTCAATAATGCCGCTTCTGATGAATCCTTGTGGCGTCGCCTGTGAGTACTTTTACTTTTTGTTGATATGTTGTCAGTGTCACATTCCTATTTAGAGCACAACCCCCCACCAAAAAAAAAAAAAAACCACAACCAAAAAGGAAAAAACCCATGGTTGCACATACAAAGGGGGTTGAAAGAGTCCAACCTCATCGATGGCCATGTTAGTTATAGTATTTGTGCAAATGATATATCGTGCCGTGCCCAAAGGTAGAGCTGCAGGGTTCAAGCCACTAGTTAAGGAAAAAAAAACTAGAAACAGAAATCCAGCCTTTCTTATGTTTATGGTTGGGAATGGGTGAACTATCCAAGTATGAAAATGCTATACGGAATCTAGAGACAATGCAAATCCTGTTTTCTGATTGATTACTGAGTAATTACTAATGTCTTTCAGCTGTGAATATCTTGGAAGAACTACTGAGGTTTGAAACCTGTGCTTGTCAGGTTCCCGCAATTCGAGGAAGTGGCATTTTGTTCCCACTGACGTGGATGCATATAATTTGAACATTGTTGAGGTGCAGGTTGCATAGTAGATGATCTGTGGTTCTATCATAAAAAGAAAAGCAATAATTAATTATCTGTCTTTTTGTTAAGCATACTGCATTCAAACGTATTTTATCCATGTGGAGTGCTGATGGGTTGGGGTGCTTGTGTAGAATGGGATGAACTTGTCCCTTGGTCATATTTCTTAATCTAATTTAACCCAAGTATCATCGCAGTTCTCACACATAATTTTTATTTCAGTGGCCATCTCTATTGTCTTGCAAACTAATTGGGTTTTTGAGGGGGTTCTGCTTTTCACTGATATGCTCATCTATTACAGTGATTCAGTCATTGTGTTTTTCCCCAAATAGTAAATACTATTTCAAAGCATTCATGGTTTACCTAGGCAATTTGTTATAGGCTATCTAAACTCCCTTATCTCAATTCCATTTTCTGAAATAAGTAATGACCCATAAACTTAGAAAAATACTTAAATAAATGACTAAAGAATATAAAAGTAAAAAGTACTTAAACATAACTAAATAAGTGTAGACATAACAACACGCTTTTTGGCCACATGTTCTCCACCCCTCTCTTCTGGTGTCAGCAGAGAAAAGTGCTTCTTATACAGATGCACAGTTGATGAATCTTAGGAGCATTTTAAGTTTTTTTTGAATGAGATGCAGCTGTTTGTTGCCTGTTGCACTTAAGCAAAATGTCCCTGCATGATGCCTACATGATTCTGTATCCATGCAGCCCAATAAAAGTATCTGAGTTTTGTGTTTGTGTATCTTTGTATGAATGCAGTTACGCCATGCTTGTTTTTTATACACTCTAGATATTGTGTAGGTACTGTATGCGGTGGGGTCTGCTGCCCCCAACAAAAAAATTGCGGGTTTGTGCTTGGAAAAGGCTTTACATTCAGGTATGCTTCAATATAGTTCAACTGTGCTTGTCATTTTGCACAGAAGAATAATGGTGAAGGTTAATGTTTCAGAATTTAGGCATTGTTCTTGTTAATAAATGATAGGAGGATTCATGGTGGAACTTTTGCTTATCAAACTTCTGCTTAAAGAATTTCAAACTTGAGATACCAAGTCCAGTAAGAAAAAAGGCAAAAAATAGATTTGGGATCTCATTTGCTGGTTATTTTGGGAGTTTCCTTGGAACCATTGTGCCATTTGTTTTATAGGATATTGTAGGATGACCTCTCTTTTCTCTATTTGACTCATTCATTCTACACTTGTTGTTGAGGTAGTTCGAGATATAACTTTAGTTTATCAGCAATTCTGTCTTCTTGCAGCGTGATGAAGAGGACATGGTTGAGTTTGTGAGAAATAGTCCCTCTGAGTTCAAAGAATATTACATCCAAATGCAGGTAGCAAAGAGAAGCCAAGCACCTCTTCCTTCGCAGGTAGACTGAAGACTGTATTTTGCTTGTAGCATTTGCTTGTTACATGTCTAAATGTGAACAGAAGGCTGTTTTTTTGTGGTTTCTGTAATAGCTCAGTTATATGGTTCTTCAAATCAAAACAATAATAGTCTCTACAAAGCATAAATTTATGATCCAAAGTATTTCCTCTCTCTGTACCTCTCATATGATGGATGAAGAATGATCTTAAAAGCATTTTTACTACTTTTGTTGTAGAAAGACGTGGCTTTGTATTGCTAGTCAATTTTTTTTCAAATATATTCTGTTCAGGTTTTTCTTTTTTATTTGTTCCTTAACCAATTGGCATTCCCAAAAGCATGGGATTTGTTTCGTTGAGCCAAAACCTATTATACTCTGGAATTTCAGTTCCAATTGTTTGTGCAAGTGCACCTTCATGCATATATGTGGGTGATGTGTGCATTCACAAAAGCAAGTGTGCAGGCACCTCTTTTTTTATGCATGCATACAGCTTGATGGGTGTGCACATTTGTTGGAGCTTTGGATGCTTAAAGTGCTGGCGTATGCTTAATTATTTCTGTAATTTTGTGGCATTAAGGATCTGATGACCCCCTTTATTCTTCAGTTATGGATATGCTTGGCATGAGATCTCGTGTCGTGTTTCCTTAATTGTTACTTAAAGCTTCTTTAAATATGCAGGTGAATGACCGGATCATTCTGGACAAGACTCTTGCTGATCAAGTGTCCATATGGAAGAGGAGCAGAGGCCTGACTGATAAGGTGGTCTCTGATCATGCTTGTTCTGGAGAAACATGCTCTTACTACCAAATTGGAGATGTTTTCGTTTGTGAGAAGACTGGACATGTTCATGGTGTGATGTCATAGTTATTTAATAGCCCGAACTTGTTTGTCGACAACATGGTAGTACATAGATCACATTAACTATGAAGTTTATTGGTTTCCTTTTTTTAATCTTCTATGCAGTGTGTGATGATACATGCCGAGAAGTTGTTTTGGACCCTACCAATGAGCTTTTGGTTTGTACAATTTCTGGGCACTGCTTTGATAGGTTACTGTCACCCGCTGAAATGGAACCTGATGTTGTAAGAAAGTTCTCCTCTAGAACATTTGCTTTTAGATTTACATTGTCTTGAAGAGGTGCAAGGCCTCTACTACCTACCATATTATGCCATTTTCAAATTTTCCGTTGAGTAGCCTTCTCATTTTTCGTTGAGGTTGGAATGCAATACTTGGAGCAGAGTAGGCTAATAACTGTTAGGATTCAGACTTATCCAGAAGCCATTTTGCTTCAAATCAGATGGCAATGGTATATGCCATCAAAATAACCAGTTTGGATATTTATGAGATCAGAAGTTAAGACTAAATGTTCAACATTTTCCATGTAATCCAACAGTCTGTGTCCCTTTATTTGTGCTTGGGGGCGGGTTTATTTTGAGGTATGATGGGGTGGAAGTACATTTAGGAACTTGTATGATTTTCAGATACCGGTTTTACACCTGTTTTACATAACATCATGTTTTATGAACAAGTAAAAAAAAGAAAACCAACCCATCTGCAAGAAGTGAGGTCATGCAACTTCCTGTCATTGGAGATTATCTTTTTATATTGGAGGAATTGCATTAATTCTTCATTGATTGGGGCAGCAAAGTGTAGCTGCATGGCACAGATTTGTTTAAGATAGCTGCATCTAAGGCGAACTAATTGCATATATGCATTTTTTTATATATTTAGAGTAGCCCAATGTTCACACAGAACGTTGAAGTATGCGTATTCCTTCACCAATGATAAGAGGTTTCAATGAGCCTAGATATTGTGCTTTTGGCGCGTTAATATCAAGTTGTCCTTTGGAAATTATAAGCTAATAATGTCCACTGGATAGGAATTTCTTGGGGAACTAATTTGGTCTGATGGCAGAAGTGAAATGAAAATTTTTAGTTTGTTTTATCAAATGCCTGATGCCCCTTTTGGCAGATGCTTTTTCCATGAGTAGAATCATTTGAGTATACCTTTACTTCACAAGATCATGTTATGCTGTCTAATCCATGAAGTTGTTATGTTTTCATGCATGAGAAAGAAATATTAGAGCTGTGCTTGGCAAGGATGGAATGCCCATTCCTAAGTCGTGTGCTTATTTGGAATTTTTTGCTCTGAAAAACTCAATAAGTGATTAATTTTCTATATCATTAAGCTGTGAATTCTTACATGATAATTGTCAGTATGGTGCAACTATAATTAGTCATTTGACTTTCACCAACATGCACGCTACTTGATTGTTTTGATTTTCCCCTGTCAAGCAGCATGGGTTGCTTCTCTGTTGTCTTTGAACTTGATACTCGGCTTTTACTTTTTGGTGGAAATTAGGAACAGCAACAAGGGGGTGTTACAGATGAAGCAGAGCCATTCATGGGATCTGGCCGTTTTTGGTATGCCCCCCCCCCCCCCCCCCCCCCTTTTTCTCAATCACTTCAACTTGTCATGTTGATTGATTTGTATA